ATAAAAGCAAAAGGATTCTTAGATATAGCAAGACAACGTGAAAAACAAAAGCTTTTCTAATATTTCGATACAGAGCAAATGAGTGAAGGTTTTGAATTTTCAATACAACCATCTCAGAAAACATTTCAATTATTGCTACAATAATAATATACGGTAGACCCCCTACAAAACGGGTTTATATAATACGTATTCGTGTATCATGGCGAAAAAATTGCGATTGTATTCTTATAAACACGCTAAAAGAGACTCGTATAATACGGTAAAACGTCATCGCCGACTCGTGTTGCGACAGAATTGGTCGAATCTTCACCAATAGCGGAGATTTTCCAAACCGTTGAGTTTAAACGAGCACTGGACTTACTAAAAACGAAGTTCAGCAGAGTTTTCGCAGAAAAGTAATTTATCAGGAAGCACGCGAGTGCCGTTCGATAAGCCGCTCCACGACGAAAACAAGCTTAAGCAATGGCGTCGTCGAACGGTGCACACTCGGTATGTAATTTTACAATTTTTTGTTTATGGCATAGTTTATATGGATTATTCTCACAAAATTATACGTGTTGTGGAATTGTTGAGTCAAATTAGTCTAGAATCGATAAATTTTATGGAAGAAAACCTTTCAAACAGCCATAGTCCATAAACTACACACATGCCGGGCTGTGATTGGCTTATGTATTTAAGAGATCGTAAAACACGAATTCATATTAAACGGAACATATTTTCCGTACTATAGGGCTGTCATCTGTATTTTGTTATTATTTCAGCAAATAAATAGTGCTGTTTAATCGCAACCTTATCAAAACGATTTCAGTATGTTATAACTCTGTTTTTAATTTTTTTTACCTACCTTTACTGAAATATATTCCGATAAGTGAAAGTATGTATTACTAGACTACTAATTTATTTATGCATATAATTATCTAGTTATAATTTGGAAACACTTATGTTTTTTATTATTTATAAGCCTGTTAGTTAGCATCTCTAACGATTTAGCGCTATTACGTAAAACAACGTGAAAGAAGAATACAAAGTTCAATTACCGAGTACTCCATTTATTAGGAAATTAATTTGTTGGTAGATTTTTTACATTTTAAGCGTAATTAGATGAAACTAAATAGATGTGTACATAGAAAGTATAAGTAAAATATGGCTAGACTAATATGAAAAAAAGTATCACGTATTACTCGATTAGAAAATATTTGATAAATTTATACTTTAACAATTTTGTTTTGATTATTACGGCCTAGTGTTTATACCGAATATATTTTTTAGTTACATTTGTAATCACAGTTACAAATTATGTAAAAATTCAGGCTTGATATAATAGTACAGTATATCATTTAAATAGTAATGGCGCATAAAATATTTACAGGATTAATTGAACTTTTCGAATTTTGTTTGAGGAAACTGATGAAGGCAAGCATATCGACAGTTGTATAATGAACTACATTTAAGTAAATTAGTTGACTTTGTTTGTTTCGATATAGTTTTTTCGTAATGTTACGATATACGAAGTTTTGATTTTGTAAATTGTATTATACTAGAAAATAAAATTTTATGTTATTTTCCTACTTAATGGTGTATTTTTAATGTTTACGAACTAAATATTATTTATTAAATTAAAATTCAAACTTTGCAAGTACTACGAATATTGAAGTAGACAGTTTTACTATAAATCAATACGTCTTACTACGTTTTACTCTAATGTTGATTTAAAAAAAAAGTAGGTGAGACAAGGACCGTTAGAGTGATGGCGTAGATTGTCGGCTTTTCCGGGTTGTATCGGACCTCTCGCGATAGCGTGATTTACAGTAGTCGCACCTACTTTTTTCTGACGCGAGCCAATTAAGAATATTAATTTTTTTAACCAATCGGATGATGGCGGGAAGTCTAAATTCGACTTATGTCGATAGATGGCCCTCCAAAATTTCATATTTATTTCAATTTTATCTCTTTTATTGTAATTTCTCGTAAACTGAAAGATATTCCAAAACAAAGTTTAAAAATCCGACTACTCGTAAAAATTCTACGAATTCACGAAATGGTCCAGGTATTTCATATGAATTTTATTGCGACTATAGTCGTCGTTCATCACTGCCGACACGATCGGTCTTGATGACTATAGTCGTCGGTCACTGCTGAGTGGTTAAATTGATGTATTTGTTATATATGTAAAGAAAAATCGGAAAATTTTACATGGCCAGCCCGTTGTTAAAACGCGAAATCTTTACACCAGTTGTCAGTGGTTTTATAAACTTGGTCATTGGTGAGAATTACAAGTATTTCAACAATTTGTAAAAGTGCATCAAAGCATTCTAATTTCTTTATTAAATAAGAATTAATTTAACGAATATTTACATAGATTGTGAGTTACTACATTGTTAAATAAAACAGCAATTCAACTACTAATTGACAGTCTATGTTAACCTATATTAACTTAAGAATTATAAGTTTGGAAATTAAAGGTTGAAACTTACTCTGAATTTGTATTCTAATGAAAGAAATGCAGATGAAAATCATCCGATTAACGCGAAATTATATATCTGCAAAGAAACGAAGCTTTGATTAATGTAAATTCACATAATTTAATAATTCATACGGTTTTTACCAATATAGATAAAACAGACAATATCTCGGCAACTGCAACACAACCCGTAAAATATATAATTGCCAATGCCGCTCAGACTATTTTCACCATACGATTCATTTCTATAAAGATGGCTCCATATAACAAAAATATAGACACATACAGAAAGTAAATGTTTAATATTTTCATAAAAAGTTTTCATTCTTCGTTTATTTCTTCAAATTCTTCAGGTAAATCCAAATTTTTTTCCATCGGACATTCCAAAATGGCTTTCAATTCGTCAGACTCGTTGTTTGTCTGTTTGACAAGTGAATATATCTTTTTCTAATTACGGTGATTATTATATCTGATAACAGAAGCATAGATATGATGACATTCAGTGCATACATGCTTTAAGTAAAAAGAACAATAGCACAAAAGAATGCTTCGTTACAGTTTCTGTTTTGTTTCTTTAATTGGGATTACAAAGCTATGCTGAATGTGATTGGTAGCATTATTAATTTAATAATTAATAAAAAAAATTCCAAATAGTAAATCTCATTTCTTTCCAGAAATTCTTTCCCTTCAAGACAGTAGCTTTTGCTATAATGAACAGATATCTTTCTTTTAAAATAATGAATTTCAGAGCAACGTAGACTGGATATTATAAGTAAGACAGTTATAGCTTGTATATCGTAGTTACTGAACATATATCTGATGCCTTCCACACATGACATTCTCTTTTATTATAATCATTGATAGAAACAATAGTGAAATGAGCCAGAGAAAGACTTCAATTCATGTACATAACTAAAATACAGTGAGACCTCGGTATACGTCTGCTTTAGAATACGTCCAATTCGGAATACTCCTGTTTGGACGATACGACTTTTGTTCGGTATACGACTTAATACAATTATACGCGCCATCTATGAACAAGTAGCACTATCGGTGTACTACACTAGACTTTCATTATTCAAGTATTGTTTTATGCGGCACTGTGGCTCGACCTTATCGTATTTAGAGCAAACACATTGATTACAGATTACGGTGGTTTCAAGTTGAAAGACCGACAATAAATTTAATTTTTTAGTTCTTCCTGCATTTTTTAGTCTTGATCGTAAACAAAGTAATATTTTTCCAACTCAAAATACCATTATATTTAAGTAATAAGCCATTGGTATATCATAAGATGAAAATTCCCAAATAATATTTGCGTGTTATTACATGCCTAATAGGTTAGCCACTTGGGTTTTTCAAAACATTACGTGTGCTACACCTAAATGTCGGTTTTTTCGTAAAATTCTTAAAAGATGGCAGATTGCCAATTTTCTGTGTTGTCTCATTTTATCAGTCGTTGTAATAGCAAGTTATAAAAATCATTATCTAGAATTGTAGGTTAATTGTCAATGATTACAGTTTTATATTTCTAGTAATTCTTTAACGTATATTGTTTCCTGTTTACATCTTGTTGTAATGACACACAACACAACTTTGTAGAATTTAGAACTATTCGTTATTTAAATGTTAGCTATTGGAGTTTAGGTGAAATAGTCAGTGGATATTCACTAAAAACACTAAACATTTCTACCGAATTCATATTATCTACTATTCATTGTTTAATGTTTTCATTAACTTTGTTTGAAGGTTCACAATCTTAATTGAGTATATTCAAGTTTTGTGTTTAATAAACAATCTGATATTTTACAAGAAACCAGCACTGTGAAATCTTCGCATTGATTTAAGAGTGTGCATGTTCATATATATAAAGCAGCATGCAATAGTATAACATGTACATTATTGCAATATCTGCACCAATTAGTCTCTTATATAATATTTATAACTTATATATAACTTAACATTTAAAAAAATTACTAGAAAATTCTGTAATTCTGTATTTTCTTTAATTCTTCTCAACTCTCAGCGATAAGTGACAGATAATCGAACTTCTACCGTGTTTTAATAACGTTTGTTTTTCGTTTATACTAATTAAGTAAAACAAATTTCATGAACATTGCAATAATGTCATTTTTTTATCTCATCATTGGAAGATATCTTTGATATAAATTTAATACTAAACTGTAAAAATATGATTGTAGATAGTTATATAGTCCTATCTTAAATTTTTTCATTCTATAATTCATATAAAATATATTAAATTGCATTGTAATAATATACATACACAGAACAAATATTAAACGATATAAAATTTTACTAAAAATACTAACATTTGGAAAATTAATTTATCTAGTGTGGATGGAGAAAATCTTTACCTATAAAAATTTATTTATCGAATATCAAAAACCGGATTACCTATAATTAAATGTAATTATACAAAGTGATTTTTATAACATAAATATACATAAAAATAATATTTTGAATCACATTTAAGGTTATTCATAATTAAAGTATACGGCTTTTTTATGCAAATTACGTTAGAGAATCGACGAGTGTGTGTTTATAGGTGCTCGAAGACAAAGGAAATTGTTCGTATGAATCGACAGTAATTGAAAAGTTAAATAAGCTGGTTTTATTCTGTAAGTATCTCAGTTATTTTATAATTAGAATATCTTTTATAATTTAATGTTTGTATTGTTTTAAGTGAAATTAAAATTATTAAATGAAAAGTATCTTACTCGGCAGATTAGAGAAACAAAATTAAAATCTTAGACAAAGCCTAAATTTTTTTACTTATTTATAATAGATATTGAATGTTTATTAGCTATCGATTTTATAAACATGAATTTATTATTTTCAATGCTAATTCATAAATTTGGATAGATATAGTTGGACGCAATGCCTGATCAGAATTCTTATTTTGAATTTGTAACATCCACTTTTTGAACTATTGATACAATAATGTAGACAATTATATTTAAAAAAATTAAATTTTTGGTTAATTAAAAAAGAATTTAAATCATTTCATTACATGCTAATGTAATCCAGTAATTCTGATTAGTAAAGAGTTTTATGCATAAAGTGTTACACGAACAGCTAATATCTAAAATTAAAAATGAATGTAAATTACAGGGTGATCGTTATAAACCTGTGATACTTAGAAAACTTTTTAGCCCCAACAAATAAGCCAAAATTTGTGAATATGCTAATTTAGTTTTCAAAGTGGTTTTCTACATGATAAATGGCACTACAAACAAAACTGTGAAACAACGTAGATTTAAGAAGAAATTTCCTATTTCGGTAAAAGTCGACATTATAGCAGTTTGAAAGTATATATGGTGAACCAAAAGTCACTTCTCCATGTAAAAATAAATTACGTTTTTTACTTTTAATTATTTTATAAGTTTCTTTTTCACATTTTAATATACACAACTTAAAGATTTTTTAACCTTAGCATAAAAACAACATTTTTAATATGAATCTCGTTTTTTCTTGACAATAGCAAACTCTATCCGCCGTAAAGTGACTTTTGTCCCACTATGTACTACAACATAATATTCCTCTACTTTAAAATTTACTTTTATACAATAATAAAACTAAACTATTATATATGAAGATTATTATATGTTTATACTTTAAAAATATATCCTGATGTAACAAATTGTCAACATGATATATTGTATGCTAAAACATGTAAATTACTATCAGTATGTGTAGTTGTTAACTGTAATTTAAGGAAAAATTGCAATATAAATGAATAACTCTAAAATGCATTGTTTCCTTTGTAGGTGTTGATAGACATAGATTGTGCAATGTTTTACAAATGCGAGATTTGTGATAAGTCCTTCGCTAGGAAACAGGGTTTAAGTTTTCATATGAGAATCCATACAGGAGAGAAACCCTATGTATGTAAAACATGTAATAAACGTTTCGCTTATAAGAGCAATTTAAATTCTCATCTCAGAACCCACACAAGAGAAAAGCCATACAAATTTAAAACATGTAAAAAACGTTTTGCCACTTCGAGCAATTTCAATTCTCATCTCAGAACCCACACGGGAGAAAAACCATACAAATGTGAAACATGTAATAGATGTTTTGCGCAATGGGGCACTTTGCATAATCATCTCAAAATCCACATGGGAGAAAAATCATACAAATGCGAAACATGTAATAAATGTTTCGTTCAAAAGTCCTCTTTGAATACTCATATCCGAACTCATACAGGAGAAAAACCATATAAATGCATAACATGTAATAAATGTTTTTCTCACTCAAACAGTTTGACTTGTCATCTCAGAACCCACACGGGAGAAAAACCCTACAAATGCAAAACATGTGATAAATGTTTTAATAACTCGAGCAGTTTGAATCGTCATCTCAGAATTCACACAGAAGAAAGATCATACAAATGTGAAACATGTAATAAATGTTTTTCTAGTTCTAGACATCACAATCGTCATCTGAGTATCCACAGGTTAGAAAAACCCTAAGAGTGCAGAATATGTAATAGAAGTTTTGAGGACAGATCCTGTTTAACTCATCGTCAAATATTCTACAGTAGAAAAACCCTACAAATGTAAATTATGTAATGAATCTTTTCTTGAAAACAAGATATTAGATTGTCATTTCAGAAGACATTTGAGGAAGACAGTACACAGGTATTAAATACCCATTAAAATTTTTTCCCCTGGAATGAAAGTGAGTAACAATACAACGACTTATTCAAATCTATTTCCCAGCCATCATGTTAGCAGCAATCGTCGTTTCGAAGAACAAAATCGTTTAATTCAGCATCTTTCCACTCATTCTAAATTCAGACCATTGATCTGTCTTTTGTGTGATAGTCAATTTGAAACTGAAGCTTAACTGGATGCTCATTGTATAATGCACAAACTACATCCATTTCGTTGCATTGTTTTCAAGTGTTTTGCAGCCAGAAGGCTATAGAAGACCACAAAATAATACAGAATTTATTAGTCAATTCGTCTTATCATTGCAATAAATGCTGTGTAACATTTGCTTGGGAAGAAAACTATGAAGTTCATCTTGAATATAATATAAATTTTGTTTAAAAATTTCGACTGAATATTTGCCTACAAGAATTTTATTCCTATAATTAAATGTAATTATACAAAGTGATTTTTATAACATAAATATACATAAAAATAATATTTTGAATCACATTTAAGGTTATTCATAATTAAAGTATAAGGCTTTTTTATNAATATTTATTAATTAATCGCAACGTCCGTTAATTATTCCTTTGCCTGTTAATTTGAATTTACCAACGTTTGTGTCTTCTTCTGTAAAGTTTATTGTAAAGTTAATTCATTTCTTACATTTATTTTTATTTAATACACTTAAATTAAATTTGATGATAGATTAAAATATTTTCTCATTAATTAGATAACATTTTCAGTTCGAAATGTCAATAATAACTCTACTGTACAGAATATTTATTAATTAATCGCAACGTCCGTTAATTATTCCTTTGCCTGTTAATTTGAATTTACCAACGTTTGTGTCTTCTTCTGTTTAGTATCTTTTGGAATTTCATAAGAGAGTGTCATAAACTGGCTAAAAGTTTGGAAGACAATGCAGCGATAACTGCAATCGCAATTTTATTCATTATGCAGTAATAACTGACTTCTTTGAAATCTTATATTTTTTATTTGCAATTTATGTCGATCGACACGTTAAAGTTTTACTGAGTCTACAGCAAATAATAGAAGCAAAAGGACTCTTAGATATAGCAAGACAACGTGAAAAAAGAAAAGTTTTTTAATATTTCGATACAGAGCAAATAAGTGAAGGATTTTAATTTTCAATATTACAACCATCTCAGAGAACATTTCAATTATTTCGATAGTAATATTACACAGTAGACCCCCCTATAAAACGAGTTTATATAATACGTATTCGTATAACACGGCGAAAAATTTGTGATTGTATTCTTATAAACACGTTAGAAGAGACTCGTATAATACGGTAAAACGTTATCGCCGACTCGTGTAGCGACAGGATTGGTCGAATCTTGACCAATAACAGATATTTCCCAAACCGTTGAGTTTAAACGAGCACTGGACCTACTAAAAACCATTTATTATTTAACGTCCATAAAAATTATATCTATATTAATGATGTCTCCAAAGTTCGGCAAAGTTTTCGCAGAAAAGTAATTTATCAGGAAGCACGAGAGCGCCGTTTGATGAGCCGCTCCACGACGAAAACAAGCTTAAGCAATGGCGTCGTCGAATGGTGCTCAGTCGGTATGTAATTTTAGAATTTTTTGTTTATAGCATAGTTTATATGGATTATTCTCACAAAATTATACATATTGTAAAAATGTTGAGTCGACTTAATCTACAATCGATTAATTTTATGGAAGATTACCTTTTAAACAGCAGTAGTCCGAAAACTGGACACGTGTTGGGATGTTATTGGCTCATGAATTTAAGTGATCGTAAAACATGAATTCATATTAAACGGAACGTATCTACCATACTATAGGGCTGTCTACTGTATTTTATTATCATTTCAGCAATCAAATAGTTCTGTTTGATCGCAACCTTATCAAAATGACTTCAGTATGTTATAACTTTTTAAATTTTTTTACCTACTTTTAGAGAAATATATTTCGGACTCATATTGAGGAAACCAAAATAATGTTTAAGGCCCCTGTAAAAGCAAGATAAAAGATCTTTAATTTTTGCTTTATTTGTACTTTAAATATGTTCTTATATGTTCAAATATGTTTTTATCTTATGATATACATCTTATTGATTTTTATAGTGTACTCGAATTAATGCTAAATGTGTATTTAAAAATTCGATTTTTACACCAAACATAAATTTATTTCATTGCTTATATTTTAATAATAATGTTAAAATACGGAATTTATTGGTACCCTTGTTTTGTACAGTTTAATATGTAAGAACTCTATAACAATTGAGGAGCGACAATATCAGTCCGAAATACATTTGTGATCGAAGGATCGGCAACACGGCAATATGACACCGTATGTCTTAAGAAACATAGAGATCGCAATAGCGATAACGTTCACGCGCGAGCGTTTGCGTATTTAGGCGTTTGGATTCGTGATGGAGGCAATACGATAGACGGCGTTCTGAAGGAAGTGCAACAAATACAAGATTGACAATAACAATTACTTGTTTTTTAACTATTTACAAATAAGCTACACATAGGCTATTTACAATTGAAAGATTGAACACTGTGGATATCGCTAATCATATTTTTATAAAGTTAGTATAATGTATGAAAGGTTTAGTATTTTATATTATCTATCCTCCCGAGTCCTAGTCTTGAGAGACAGTTTACATAAATTCGCGAGCAAATAATTACCTCGTAGAGAATATGAGGATGAGCTTCGTTCCCGAACGGGTTAAGGACAAAATTAATTACACGACGTATTAATGATTCAGAGAGTTCGATGGAAGGCTCTGAAAGATTTTGGTATATTTGGTAAGATCTAGATTAGTGTTTCTCAACCTCTAACGAATCGTCGTTCCTTCAACGTAGTATCCCTTCCTTCGACTAAACTGTTACGTAGTATCGCCCTCTTCACTTCAAAATTCCGATGCCTAGAGCCAAGGCTAACGCCAAATTCGCACTGCATTGAATAGACTTGTGACTAGTGTAATGTTATTTGTTTAATTATTGTTCATGTTCGATATAACGAATAAAATATCTAATTATTCTTAATATAATGTTTTAATATATCGCCCAGAAAATTGTTTTTGCCCCTAAAATATAAATTGTTACTAATCGTCCTCTCAACATGGAAAAACGCCCACATTTGGGCGATATCGCCCCCGTTGAGAAACACGGATCTAGATTTTCGGGATATTTCGGTGACAGGAGGATCGTCAGATGCAGAGGAGTTACTTGGGTAGAAAATTTTTGGGGTCGGTAAGGTATTCGAGTTGTAGTGAGGGCGAACTATCAATGACAACGATCGTCATCAATCACTCCCTTTTATTGGGGTCCTTATCGACGTTGTCCCAAAAAATCAATTGTGAGGGAAGTTGTACATTCATATTTCGTTGTTGTTTCTTGATGATCTAATCTAATTTCTTTCGTTATTTGTGATGAGATTTCTTTCTAACCTTTCTTTTATGTAAATAGTTCCTTTATTTTCAGATACAAGTAAATTCGGGTCCTCCTCAAAAATTTCAAGTTTAATTAAGTTTTCCGTTTAGAAATTATAACTTTCTTCGTCGTTCGAAGGCGAAGATGTTTTAACTTAGGTAAGTTTTAATGGTATGTTTTAACTTATTGTATGTTTTAACTTATTTGGATCCCGGTAGGATTTACATCCTACCGGGATCCAAATACACTATATAGACATCGGAAATACTTTGTAACTTTGGGATTCCACCAAGAAGTTGAATTTGGCTCTAGCTTTCGTTAGAGCTAGCACCAGTTTTCTAAATAAGTTAGCCGGCACAGCGTAATCATATATCAACAATTTTGGAGAGATTTAAATTCGATTTAAATTGTTTAAAGAGAATTACAGTAAAAACTGCTTAAGCGACTACTGCATTCGACGGGCACCTGTCAAAACGGTAAAAATTTCTGGCACGGAATAGTTTATACATAGTCTTTGTATAAGTCATTTGTATTAAACGACCACCTGTGTAACGCGACCGCGGGCATTGATTTTTGGTCCTAAACATCATACAACACCTGTAATAAGCGACCACTTTTGCGAATGTATCTGGTCTAAACTATTGTTCGAATTCATCCCGAGCACTTTTTACACCTTTGAAATTAGGTGCGGGTGTTAATAATTAGTCTAGCAACAAAAGAAATTCATTTCAGTTTCTTAGAAAATGTCCCAAAAACTAAAGAAATGAAAAGTGCTACAGCTGTTTTCATTTCTTTCGTTTCAGATGGTGTTAAAATTATCAGAGAAAGTGAAAATGGTTTATCACAATGGCAATTAGTGGTGAAGTTTAAGTGTGAGAAAACGAAGTTTATTTTACCGTAGACCTACAGTATTTTCCTTAGGGGTGTAAAATGTTGTACACGATACAAATAATCGGCTGATCTTATCGTTTGATAAAATTTATTTTTATTTATTTATTTTGAAGCTCATATACAGTACACGTGCGATAAATAGTTTCTGTATCAACCTACTTTATTTCCACAATATTTTTTAGAAAAATATTGATAATATCCAAGTAATTTTCGCAGGAAAAATATTAGAAAAAAACAATAAACGCATTAATACTAAAATCAGTTTTACAGGCAACATTCCTTTTTCGATTCCGCAATGGCAATATAGATCAGGGGTAGCCAACATGTAGACCACGGTCGACCGCAAAGGTTTTGAAAGTAGCTTGCGAAGCTAAAGTTGAACAATTTGCTTTTACTTAATGTTTAAAAATCTTAATTCGATAATTTATTCTTACAACAATAGACTGTGTCTGCAACATACCCACAGTGTTTGTATTTATCCTGATGAACAATGCAACAGTAGCTTTACCTAAGGAAGCAAAAGTTGAAACACATTTTGTAACAGTTCATAAAACTTCGAAGATTATCCCCGTGGTACTGCGTTAAGAAAGGCCAAAATGCAACAACTGAAGGCACAATTAACTGTGCAACAAAATAGCTTTTTTAAATACAACACGAACTCAGACTGCTACGATGACCTCATTCAATGTTGCTGATATTTTAATTAAACATAATAAACCGTTTCAAGATGGGGAAGAATGAAAGAATGCGGCGATGAACACAGTGAACTGTTACTAACATACTGAGGTAAGATGGTTAAGTCGTGCCAAATTTTTAACGAGATTTAGAGAACTTCTGCCACAATTTTGGTTTATTTATTCTATAATAATAGGGTTAAATATTAATAACATTTAAAACAATAATTAATTAAGAAACAAACACACCCGCTTCTGTTCGCTGTATGAATAAATAAATAAAAACCTAAAATTGAAAGTAAATACAAGTGCACAAACAAGGAGTAACAAGTGGATTGAAGTCGGGGACTGTCACGTTACTGTCTGACACGTGATTTTGCGCCATTTTAAGCTCATATTTACAAACTAAAGGTG